TCGAGCACGGCGCCCATGGCGAAATTCGAGGCGTCCGTGACTAAACGCGTTTTGGCGTCCAGAGACGGATATGCCAGTAATGTGGCGGTAGCGAGATTGGTCTTTGAGTTTTCAAATGCTGCTTCGGTTTCGGTGGTCCACTCAATTACGCGCTTATCATTTTTGCGCGAATCCTTGAGGAACACGTGTAACGGGGCCTGAATGCTAGCTGCGTTGCGTAAATATCCACGATAAAAATTTAGCATACCGAGGAATTGCCGTAGATCTTTAACTGTCTTAGGCTTTGGGAAATTTTTAATTGCTTCGACCTTTTCGCGATTAGGTGTGCAACCTTTGCTATTAATGTGATGTCCCAGAAATGTTAGCTCTGGAACACCAATGACGCATTTATCTGTATTGAGGGATAAACCGAACTCTCGTAATCTATTGAGGACTGTACGTAAATGTCGTTTGTGTTCATCGACAGAAGAAGATGCGATTAAGAATCATCTATGTACGAAAAAACAAAATCCAAATCTCTTAGAGTTTGATGCAAGTAACGCTGAAAGGTTTGCGCTGCGTTACGGAGTCCGAAAGTCATGATTGTAAACTCGAATAACCCGAAAGGTGTAGTTACTGCGGTTTTAGGAATGTCTTCTTCTGCGATAGGAACTTGATTGTAAGCCTTGTACAAATCTAATGATGAAAATATGCTTTTGCCGTGCAAGTTGGCAGTAAAATCCTGCAGATGCGGTACCGGGTATTTATCGGGAATGGTGATCGCATTGAGACGACGGTAGTCACCACAGATTCTCCATTCGCCCGACTTTTTACGAACCATGTGAATGGGGCTGGCTCACGGGCTACTGGATGATCTGCAGAGACCAAGTTCCATTAAACGTTTAAATTCGGCTTTTGCTACGCTTAACTTTTCTGGGGGAAGCCTGCGCGAGCGTTCGGTGACAGGAGGACCGGTTGTAAATATTTGATGGTTTACTGCTCGCGGGACGAATGAAAGATCTTGCGCGACACCCGTTACCGTAGGGAATTCGGCGAAGATGTGAGCGAAGTCCGAAGAGTAATTGATGACTGAGACTTTTAGTGCAGGTGCCAAAGTTACTTTGCCCTTAGCTTTGAGCGACGTAACCTGGTCAATTAGTACTTGATCGTGTAAATTAACTGACAAGCGGTAGTGCGATAAAATGTCCGCGCCCAGAATAGCGAATGGGATATCGGCTACGCAAAAATTCCACGTTACTGGCCTCCGTAATCCGAGATTAAGTGTTAAGCGCATTTCACCATACGTTTTGATTGCGGTGTTATTTGCGGAATATAACTTTAAGTCAGTTGGCGATTTCCTGTTCGTAGAGGAAACGGGAATGATCGACACGTCCGCGCCTGTGTCAACCAGAAATTTGCGACCGGTTGTTCTATCGTAAACATGAAGACGTTTTTGCTTGTCGCCTACCCCGACCGCCTCCAATCGGGAAGGCTTTTCTAGTTTTCCTTGGCGGGTTTGTCGACCCAGCTGCAAGGTTTTTGGCATTTACGCGCTTTAGATCCGAATCTGCTGTGGTAGTAGCATTCCTTGCTATCGTTATTGCGCGATTCGCTGCGATTTCGAGGGAAACGCGATGAGCGGCTCTTGGAACGGGAACGCTGACCGTGTTTATCGAGGTTTAGTTGGCTATTATTTTCTGTGCTAGCCTATCTATCGTTTTGTCGTCAAACGGGTCTGCTTTGTGCTTATTTCGCGGGTTGGAAACTGCTGATACCTCTTCGTGCTGTGCGCTTGATACCGGTACTAAGGCGTTGCTTAAAGACATGGAGTCTGCGATTTTGTCTGCTATGGCCGCGAATCTGTTAAGGTCTGATTCGTCAATCGTCGCGAGGATTACGCGATAATTCTCTGGGAGTTGCTCGACGAACAACGTTTTTAAGATATTGTCGGTGCATTGGTCCCCGG